GTGTATGTGTGTGTATACACACACACACACACACACACATATAATAAAATTACTAACAGCAACCAAAGGTAAAGGCCCAACTTTATGCAACCATCAATGACAATCTGACTCAATGTTTTCTAAACCCCACGCATGGATTTCTGATATATTGTAATGGGGCAAAAGGCGATTGACTAAATCCAGATAATTCTCTTTTAACTTAAAGAGAAGCAAACTGAGGGGCCTAAGTGAAGGCCAGGGAAAGGTCAGAGAAAAATCCCTTAAGAGTAGAGAATCTCACAATTCTGTATGGCATCTCAGCAGAGGAAGAGAAGACTATCAGTGCCTACTATTTTTTTAAGTCTCTAACTCCTAGAAAATAAGTAGGAAACTATACAGTTCACACTAAAAATTAATCATAGCACACACAATCAGACGAAATAAATCTGGGAGAAATCTTAAGGCTCTCTCCCTTTCCCCCAAATATCCTCATAGATGTATTTTTGTTCCATAGAGCTACTTATTAATAATCTGAATTCAAGAAGATTAAAAACTCAAAAGATAGCATTGCAAGAGATTAATGGTAAATAACTAGGTGAACAAAATTAAGACTAGAACAGCACTATTATAGAACTAACTAGTCTTTTAGAAAAAGAAACAGAATACAGCAGATTACTATCAGAAAAAACGAGATAATCAGTATATTCCAATTAAAAATTAAATGATTGAAATAGATGGGAATGACAATAAAGGCACATAGAAAACCAAACACTCCCTCAGAAAGCTAGAAGAAAATTTCTTTGAAATGATGAGCTGATTCTGTATGACGTAAAGGGCATATTTTCAGGAAAAACTGAGAAATAACAATTGGCAGTAAAACGTACATTGTTTAATTTTGAACTTCCCCCTAAAGAATTCTTCAGAAAGATGCCTAGGTGCAAATACGAAAAAAAAAAAAAAAAATTAGAGGGATAGTCTGACTGATCTCTTACCATCTCCACAATATTTACTCCAGCTATTATGAAGCATGGTGTACAGACTAAAGAGGGAATGTGAAAGTGGCTCCAGTTAAATGTGGGCATGACAAATGGAGTGTAAGCAGCAGCAGGAAAGGTCACAATGTTTAAAACAGTGGCAGTGTGACTGCAAATCTGTGAGGGAAAGAAAGTGTGAACCGTTGTTTTATTCGAAGCTAAAACAGAGGAGCTAAAAATTCGAAGCTAAATAAAGAAGCTATTTTTGGAGTATAAAAGCTAGAACTCAAGGAATGTAAAAATATTGAGCCTTTGTTTAAAACAAAACAAAACAAACAATGACTTGTAGATAAAGTTCATTCAACATAGAAGTGAATTAAAAGAAATAATTTAGAAATAGAGGAATTTTGTTAAAAGTCAGTTTCCTTGAAGGTGGATATATTATGTTTATATTATGTAAATTATGGCTACAAAATAGGATATAAATCTAATAAACCTTGTCAAGGTAAAAATAACGTGATTGACCAGAACTAGGCTGTGGGTGAAAGTTAAAATGTGCTATCTCCTGTTTCTTAGAAGTCAGTTAGTACCAACTTAAAAATGAATTGGGTTGTCAGTAAAGGTTTGGTGTCTTTATCTTGCACATGATATCCTTTCTTAACCTTTAGAAACTAATTAAGCTTCCTGGAAGTGAAGAATTATCTGAAGTTATTGATGCCTTCAGTTTTACTACATTTGGCTTTCTTTTACTAAAATTGTAATTTACTAAATTACTAAAATTGTAGTAAAAGTGTAATTTAAAATGACATGCATTTTATGATCCCATTTTAATAAAATGTATTTATGCCATTAGCTCATCAGATTTTTGTCCTTCCAGTTTACCGCATATATTATTCATAGATAATTGTTGAAATAGTACTACTTATCTGACTTTCAGAATAATTATTTCATTGTAATTGTATGTTTGGATGATTTTTTTTTTTTTTTTTTTTTTTTTTTTTTTTTTTTTAAAAAATTTT